ATTACTGACCTCTGTCATCATTTTAAGTGGGGGAACTTGCACAATCGGTGGCTGACTAAATACTTTTTTGCCCCACTGTATATATTAAGTCTTCTGAATTTCCAGTGGTTTGAGTGTTAATATCTAAGTAGAAATTTGCTGTGACATCTGACATGTATTACACTATAATACATGTCAGGTGTTTTTATATGGTCAAATGTTGCCAGGCATGCACTCAGTCATACATACCAGCTTTACAGATCCACTCCAGGTAACCGTTAAGCTCCCTTTCAATCTGCTGCTGTCTTCGGAGCTTCAGAAACTCACTCCTGTTCTCCACACGCTCTCTCTCTTTGGCGAACTCGCTGCAGACACACACATGACACAAGTATATACCCTGCACATCACATTGAATGTGTGACATCATTTGATATCAACATTCATCACCTGAGACCTCTGTAAAGCACGTTGGGACTGTTTCTTTTTATATATTTACACATGCACATAAACTTACCCCGACAACACACCCAGCACCAGGTTGAGCATAAAGAAAGAGCCGATGATGATGAGGGGGATGAAGTACATCCAGTTCCATGCACTCCCTGAGGCATCGTTGCTCTGGAAACACACGTGAGGACACACACGCGCACATACACACAAACATAATTAATCAGTAATCAATGGTTTGCTCTTTATTTGAGTATTTGATACAAAGTGAATTAAAAGAAACCAGTTAATGTTAGATAATGGTTTATAAATGTGAGCTTTGGGAAGTTTAACAAAGGTTAATATTAATAAGACAAACTTTTCAATTAATTTGAATCAAAGGTTGAATTTTTCATTCATTGAAATCAGCAAAGTGGGTACACCTGAAAAACTGAGCAGCTGTAGCTATATATACATTTTTGATTTGCTGAAAGCTGAAGGCATCAAAATTCATTCTCTACCTCCCTGCTTTGTCACATTGAGGTACGTTCATGTACATATATATGCACCACCACCAAGTTAAAGATATAATACGCTTTATATAGCCTAATTAAAAATAACCTATTGCTATCCTAGTGACTTATTCTTTGACGTTGTCATTAAAGAGTGGAAACAATGTGCTTTAAACTGCTGTCTACGACTTATGGAAACATAAACAAAAGCAGGCATGACATGATTTTACTTTAAGTCATCTCAGTAAGTAAATGCGTATCTGCCACTCTATTTAGCTGCTCCGACAGAGTAAATAATGTATAACAAATGCTTTGCTCTCTCGCTCTCGGTCCCTACCATCCTCCCTTACAGACCATTCTTTCATTATCATTCTTTATTCAGTTCTTATTGTTTTGTCTCTCCTCCTCCTATGGAACCCCTTAAGAACGCCCTCCATCTGCCTTTTCATCCCTCCCTTATCTATCTCAATGCTAGTTTAACCTTTTCTTCATTCCTTTCTCCATAGCCATCTCCTCACTGTCACTGAACAACCTTTACAGTGATTTTATCAATCCCAACTTGAGACCCGGGCTTTTCTTTTCTGTTTCGAGCTCTCTTTCTCATAGCCTTGCTCCCTTTTCCTTCCCGTCTCCTCCATCTTTCCTTCTTCCTGCATGTAAGCCGGCATCGCCGCTGTGTACCCAATGTACCGCAGACCCTTTTTCTACCATTAAACTTTTATTGCTCCCCTCCCGAGCAGCTGCAAGAATAACTTGGGCTGAACAGGCCTTTTTAAATATAGAGCAGCACCGGGAAGGAGGGACAGAAGGAAAGAGACACAGAGGGAGAGGGAAGAAAAAGGGGAGAATAAGGGGAGAAAGGGAAGGACAGAGGGAGAAAGGTAAAAGAACTGGGTGGACGGAGAGGGAAAGGAGATGGGAAAAACAGATGACTACAGTAACAGTCAAAGACCCTCATCTGCCTCTGGTCTCCACGGCAACCGTTGCCCCTGACAGCAGGGAACAATTCAGTCTTGGACATGAGTGATGGCATTGTTGGTACTCATTTAATAGGTAGATAAGCAGTATGCACAGGTGAAATTGTTGGAGGTTTTAACAGTCTAATTTTTGTACTTGATTAGATTGATTACTGTACTTGATTTGTACTCTCAAATGGCTTTGAGTGAAAATACTCCTGTTAACAAGCTGGAGTAAAATTTACATTTTACTCCAGCTTGTTAACAGGAGTTTGTTTAAATATAAGTCTGACAAGCATGAAAGCTAACCTAAGGTGCACTTCATTAGATCTTTTTGTTTGCTGTTTTGTTATAGATTTTTTTAGCTAATGTGAAGGTTTAATCCATAAAAAACAGCTACAAAATATGACAGAAATATTTTTTTTTCCATGATCACCAGATAGCAAAATAAACTGATACTGTATTTTTTTTTCTAAGATGAATTAACAGGCAAACATGATAAGAGCAGGTTTGTGGAATTTTAGCATGCTGTAGCATTTTTTTTCTCTTGAACAAGACTTTCTTTATTAAGTCTTTTATTTTTGCCTTGCTAGATTTAACACCTTTACATAGACATCCTCTGCTTTCCTGGGTGCACTGGTGTGGCCAAAACGTTGGTCACTGAATGTGTACTAGTGTTGCAAATGCTGTTCAGCTTGACATACATAGTAGAGCAGGTCAGTCCAGCCCTCCATGGTGATACACTGGAAAACGGTGAGAATAGCAAACAGGATGTTGTCAAACTGGGTGATGCCGTAGTTTGGTCCCAGCCAGTACTCTCTACAAACGGTGTCCCCTGGACACAGCCGAGATGGAAGCTCTACCCCACATGGAAACTCTTCCCGGATCTCTTCTAAACATGCGTAAAAGTGGGAGAAAACAAGTATGAGCAATCAAATTCCATGTATGCGCAAATGTATTTAGTAATTTTAAATCCCTCTTGAGAAAACGTCAAATACTTCAGATGTTGAATGAGGCTACATCTGCAGAAACTGCACAGTATACCAAAAATTTACTATTTTAAGTTCTAAATTTAGCAGTGCAATTATTTAAAGTCTGCCTCAGCGTGAACAGGTGCACTCTTCTCTGAGGAAAACTTGGAGCAACTTAATCCCGACTGAATTATTGCCAAAGTGTAAACACAAAATCCTTTACTTGTTATGTTGTCGAAGCAGGTTTTGTGGAATTTGCCCATGTAGAACTCGAGGCCGATGATGGCGAACATGAGGATGGCAAAGAAGAGCAGCAGGCCAATTTGCAGCAGAGGAATCATGGCCTTCATGATGGATTTGAGCACCACCTGTAAGCCTAAAGCACACAGGTATAGAGTATTACGATTTTATGAAGAATCATTTTATACATTTCATTTTAATCTATCCGCTCTCTTTATCCTAAAACTAATTTCAATTAGTTTGCAGTTAAGCTACCTTTCTGTAAAGAAATACTTGAATATCCTAATTACACATTTATACCCAATCATTAAACTTATACATGTTAAGCTGAAGTGAAATAAACCATAAACATATATATTGTAGCACCTACTGGTATGATGCTCTAATTGGCTTTTCATAGAAACCCAAGTGACTTTTATGATGAGTAAGCCCTGGTATGCCTGTTCAAGCCCATAGTGGAGAACAGGCTATTAATAACACTGCTGTGGCAGTAGTGCTGGAACATTACTGCCACTATAACATTTAAAAAATGAGCAGAGTGTGCACAGAAGTACCACTTTTGTTGTTGCATTATGCAGAGCAACACAGAAGCTGCATAAAACCTTGACACAAAATGCTTCTCCATGCTATTTTGATCCCCAAATAAAATTTAAAGATGTTCTGCACTTATCGCTTTCTCAATTGTTAAGCAACGACAAAGATGTGGTTCAAGGTAAAGGTGAAGAAAGCCTTTTTTAAAATTTTTCTCAGATGAAGAATATCGACTTACTGGGAATACCGGACACCAGTTTGAGAGGCCTCAATACTCGCACAGCCCTGAGTGTCCGCAAGTCGAATTGTGAGCCCACAGTGGATAGAATTCTAAAGGGAAAAAGACAAATGCACCGAAATGAGCACAGAGAATCAATATTTAAGCTAGCCGAGCTTGTCAAGGTCTGTCAACCTCGCAGTTTCTCCATTTCTCCATTTTCTCATACATGCACAAACCCATGCCAGATCATTACAAACAACTGGGTGAGCTCTGTATGTAAATCCTGTAAGAGCTGAACTGATCGATACGGCTGACAAGTGAAGTAAGACAGAGGAGTGTATCAGGGTGAGAGAGGGATTGGCTGAATGGAAAGTGTTTTTGTATCAAGACGAAAGAGCGACTAGACAACGAAAAAGGAGAAAGATGGGGAAATGGAGAGGAGAGGGAAGGAACGGGATTAAGGAAATAAAAAGAGAGTGAAAAACAGAAAGATTATGACTTGCTTATTTATTGTTACATGTTTGATGTTTCTCTTCTGAGTAAACACATATTAGCGTGTGCTACTGCAACTATATATTCACTCATCGTCAAAATAAATGCCATAAACAGCAAGTGTGTGTGTGTGTGTATGGGTAAGTGGAAGATTAAAATGTTCCCTCGTGCCGCCAGACTTGTAGTCAGTCCCATCGTCTGACGCACACTGTGAATCATCAAACTTCCCACTTCTCTATCTCTCTCCCTCTGTCTCTCTTTCGTCCAGTCTCTCTGACACATTTCTACCTGACTGTGTTCCTCTAAGAGGCCTAGTGACATTGCAGTCTTAATCACAGGTTTAAGGTCTGCCTGATTCCTTCACATTTGGATAGAAGGGAAAATTGACACCAACTCCGGGTTTTTGGTTGAAGGTATGCATGGTTGTGGTTTTGAATGTGGTATTGTATTACCAGGAAGCCCACCCCCCAAGTGGTTGGTGCTTCATCGCGAGTGTATAGGCTGGGGTCCTTGTAATGACATTGTGTGATATCAAATGCCTCATCAGACGCTGACCTGTAACTGAGAGGATCCTAGTTTAGTAGGAGGCGTTAATGCACTTCAGCTGCATGATATTTCTAAAAGAACAGATATCACACAGAGATAATACTCAGTGTTATATTAATGGGAACTCAACCTATAAGTTGCAGAAACTGTATTTAGGTAAAAGAGAGTATATATATATATAGATATTTTTAAAATTAATCAGAACACTCATTGGACTCATCTGAAAGCCCGGAATGAATCAAGTTTAACGTTCAACTAATTTTTCTGTTCGGCAATGCAAGTAAATAACTGTAGTTTGGCATCTTACTAATGACAATAATAATTTGCTTTACTATGCTTTCTGCTTTAAAAAAAAACAGTGAGTTTTATCGCTGAAAACGCTGCTTTACCAGGAAATAACCGAGCTGCCCTCTGCTACGCAAGATGGCCAACAAAGCAAGTACAGATTTAGTGTTTTGCTCAAGGATACATTAGCCTGAAAGATGCTTGGCAACAACAGAGTGCTACATTAATGCAAGTTAGGATAGCCATGAAGGGAAGATGAAGATGATGTAGTCGAGGATGGTAAATTTGCACTAGGTATTGCACAAGGGGAAAAAAACATTTACCATAAGTGCAACTGGGGGGGAAAAGAGTGAGTTAGATAGATGCTATACTGATTTTAAATGTAAGGGCAAAAAGAATAGTGGCTCAGTTGGAATATTTACCCTCTAAACTGAACTGTGTTGATATAAAAAGGAGAATAGTGGAATTTCATAGAAGGAAAAACCTGTATATCATGCTGCAAAAACATCTGTGTGCTGACATGAAGAAACACATCTACATTTACATATAAAAGATGAATACGTGTACCTGTGTCAGTATTTTTGGAACCGCAGTACAGAAACTATTTGCCAAACAAAACAACCTGTGATTACAAATCCAATTATTTTATCTATTTCTGTGATGTGACTATGATTACAGTAAAAAACATTAACAGCACTGATGACTGGACAATAACGATAATGAACTATGATGATGATGATGACTGTGATGGCGATAGTAACAACGATAATGGTAATAACATGATGGTGATTTCATCTGCCATCACAAATAGTGTCAAACCGATGAGGCAGTTCCTCATTCACACTGTCTCCACGGTTACCGGGTCCTTTCTCATTCATAAGTGTTTCCATGGCAACAGGGACCTTGGCTCATTGATAGAATCTCTGTATCACCTTGGTAACAGGGCCAAGGGAGGAGCTAGATTGATTGTTTTTTTGTTTTGTTTTGTTTTTTTCGTCTTCTTTTCCTTTTAATGTAAATGTTTTGCAGCTTACATGCAGTGCTGCACATCTGCACACCGATACATGCAAAAACACCCGTGCACACAGATGCACGCATCTGCACGGCAAATGGGTGTTGGTTGAAGCTTAAACATACTGAGAGAAAATAATTTTATTCAAGTGTGCACAATGGAAACTGGGTCATTTGGAATAATCAATGGAAAACAATTTCTTCCCTGCCAGGAACAGATGCTCTCTACTGTACATCTTTAAATTCACACACAGAATGCACACACACCTGCATTTAAGCAAAAGGAGAGCAAATGGTTAAGGGGAATCAGATGAAGCAACATCGCTATAACAAAAACCTCATCCCTCCACTTCTGATGAGAATCCAACGCATTATACAAACAACATTTATCCCTGCTATCTCCCTCTGCAGCTTCCTGCTGACTTCAGCTAAAATCCAGCTAAATATCTCTGTCCACATCACTGACTGAATCTCACCATCTCTGCTCCAAGCTCTCCTGTTATCTGTCCTTGTCTCCTTGGTTGCATCTGTGACTATGATTCAAATATTTTGCATTAAATGCACCAGTATGCTCTTTAATGTTTTTATAACATCAATAAAATATTAAGTGTCTCTTGAGCCAGCAATCAGACCTCGACGATCAGCTGACACTCAGAATTTCTCCCAGAATTCACAAGAGCCCACGTCTCCTCCCGCAGGTGAGCCGGGAGATCCATTGTAGGGAAAAGAGACCAAACCCAGGAGGCAAAGCTGATAATTTACTGGCTGATCTGGGTTTCTATTCTCACCTATGGCAATGTGGAGAAAAGGATTGCAGATACACACAAAATGCTTGATCCTCAGAGATAGGGTGAGTAGCGCAGTCACTCAAAAGGGGCTTAAAGTACAGCCACTGTCCTACACAAGAAAGGAGCCAGTTGTGGTGGGTTTAGCATTTGAATAGAATGCCTCTTAGATGCCTCTTAGGTGAGTTATTCTGGGCATGTTCAACAGGGAAAAGACCCCAGGGTAGACCCAAGACACACGGGAAAGAACATTTTTCTCAGCTGGCTTGGAAGCACATTGGTATGCCCCTCGTTCCTCAAAGAGCTGGTGGCAGTGACAGTGGAGAGGGACGTTTGAGCAGTTTTTGACAGTTCTGCTTAGACTGCACATACATTTTCATTGCATTCATTTCCTCTTTTATAATGAAATTCCCTTTAATAAATTGTAAACTGTGGGAATAAAGCATCACATACAGCTTTGCATTAGTCTGGTAAGCACAATTCTAGACACTTTTTTTTTTTAAATGGGGAGGTAGTACCTCTAGACCGCCCTAGACAGTATTTAATTATCTGAATGTTAAAACTGCAGGAAATTGCAATAATCTCAAAACACATTTTAAACAGGAAGGCATACTCCTTAGGGATGGTGCAGTTTTGCAGTGGTTAGCACAGTCACCTTAGAGCATGGAGGTTTGTGGCCAGCTCGGTCCCTTCTGTGTGGAGTATTACACAATTCTGCTCAGGAAGCTCACAATGAAAACTAGAAAATGCATTTTCTGAAGAAACTGCAGTGTGGATGCTGATAGCTGAATGTTTTGAGCTGAAATGAAATAATTGCTGAATGTTAAGTTAAAAATGTTGAATGAGCTGAAAAATACAGAATTTTTCCCCTGAAAACAAAAGTGCAGAACTGTTGAAAGCTGACGTTCACACATAAAAAGTTGAAAAGTAGCTTAACATGTTTAAAATGTAAATTAGGAAAACCTGAGCTATGACAAAAGAAAATTCAGAGTCATAAAACATCTGAATGAATAATGAAACCTCATATTATTTAAATCACTGAATGATTAAAATGTGGGAAAATTCACTAAAGTTTTGATCGTCCAGTCAGAAAAGATGATTCTAAAAGTCATCATCTGACTTCAAATGCCCAGATCTGAACCACCTGTGTGCAGAATACAAATCCACCAATGAACAATGAGCTTGAATTTAATGGGACAACCAGACTGCTCAATCCAGTTGGCCTACACTAACTACTGATATACTTATTACATTGTGCAAAACCCTGTCAAATCTGCCTTGGTGCACGTGTTGAAAAACTGCTTCTAAATTGAAGTCCCTAAGTCCTGTAAAAATCAGTGAACCGCAATGATTCCAAGGAATGGTTCTACACAACAGTGTGTTCTTTATGTTCCTGTTGTCAAAATGCGATGACAGGAGAGATTTAACAAGTGGGGTCTTTCCTGCTGTTGAGACAAACTCCTGACTAAAAATACAGTGCATTTATATGGGTCGGTTAGAAGGTTATCCATCTACTTGGATTCACACAGTTCAAAATGTTTACATCTCTGAGCTTTGAAAGACACACTGTTGGAAAGAGAACAACGATGGCTACGTTTTGAGGGTAAAATGATGGCTGTAGAGCAAACACTGTGGACACAGCAGCAGTTGAAACAGAAGTTTTTAAGATTAATCTTGGCAAAGTGGCAGACAGAGCTCGTTAAGCAGACAGGTGTGAGCCTGGTTGCTATAGAGACTGCACCCAGTGGCTCCACACACACACACACAGACATGTGCCTCTCTTCTGCTGCTTTAAATAAACAGAAAGTGACCCCGAAACAAATGCTTCCCAAGAAAAAACTACAAGTCGTATTGACAAAATTCTTTCACCGTAAGCGCCAGCAATGTCCAGTCTACAAGATTCTCAGTTTTCATGCCTGTGGAGTTTATTATATGGATGTGGTGACAGTGTAAAGACAGCCTGTACTTCTGATTTTCAGATGAATTTTGGGAGCATTTATAATATTGGAGTCTATGGAAGAGTTGCAGGGAGGAGGCTATGCATTCTTGACATTTACGAAAGAACCATAACATCTTGACTGACAATGACTGAAATAGCCGTTCTAGCTTCATTCATTTTTTATGCTTCTTTTTAGCTGTTGAATCTAATCAAAAAGTCCTAACACGGGTACAGGAAAGCAAAAGAAAGAGGAGGATGCAATGCAAGAACAGCTGTAAATTAAATGTAACTAGGCTAATAATCAATAGTGGGTGTAGAAAAACAAACAAACAAATCCAACCAGCTTATTTTCACTGTCAAGCCACTCTGACAATTAACTACAACACACAGGTCAACACCCACAAATGAGACGACTTGGAACAAGACCGTAGAGTAAATAGCTAATCTCGGTGATGTATTCCGACATGTTAAGTGCTATTTGTGTGTTTGTCTTTGTATGTGTTTGAAGAGAGCGCCAGCAAGTGCAGGGAGGGTGAGCAGGACACGGAAAAGAATGTTTGAAGTGGAAATGTCTGGCCGTGTGTGTGTGCGCGCGCCCATGTGGTCACTGTGTTATCAAAGGTTTCCACCAAAGGTTGATAGAAAGGCCAAGTAGCCTTTCATCTTCAAAGAGCTGGACTGCTAAAAACACACTGGCCATTCATAGAAAGCACAACAAAGAACGAGTGCGCCACGTGTGTGCAAAATGTATTGACTGCAGGCAGTGTCCTCAATGCATCATGGGAATGTACTATGTGTGTACACTATGTGCTGCTCGGTAAATATTGCTATACACCACAGCTGGTTGACAGGGAGGGTTACAGCGTGATGGCTGCTGTTTAGGCTATACACCAATGTGGTTGTTTCTTTGAGAAATAATCCCTGAATCTAATCATTTCACACCTCCATCCATCCATCCACCCATCCATCAATTTACTTAGCAGCAGATGGGGTGGAGCTGGTGACACCCAGATGACACTGGGGAGAAGAAGAGCTGTCAATCAATGACAAGGTTTTCACGATTTTTAATTAAATCCACAGCTACAGCCCAGAGTATGCAAAGAAAACCTGCACAGACACAAGAAAAACGTGCAAACTGCACTCAGAAAGGCTTCGACCAACCACCACCTTTGTATCAAAGCATTATTGTTGTAAGTTGACAGTGCTGACCCCTGTGTTGCCCTAACTTCACACCTGAACCTGCAAAACAGTGGCTCATAATGTATCAGACACTCAGCACAGCATCATTGCCATTGGATTTTCATGGGTGATTTGTCAGGTCTAGAACAAGACTGCTTATGATGCACTTGTCAGTCATCTGTTAGTGATGGACTCGCTGTGAAACTCCACTCGTTAATGCTGATGTTTTTTTAATTTGTTTGTTTTGTTGTTGCTGTTATTTATTGACCCCTTTTCTGAGAAGTCAACAAAAAAATCATTGCAAATAAATAACCATCTTGAAGTCTTGCAACTCTTTGTCAAGCTATTGTTGAATAAAATCCGACATGTTTATGACACTAAATTCCAAATAGGGCCACAAAACCACTTGGATAAAATAGATGTCATTAATGAAGGCCATTATGTTTAGAAAGGGTAGTCAACAAGGCTAATATATGCTGATAAAATAGTGCATACATAATCCATTCAAACAAATCTAGCTTTTTTTTCAATGTGTGCCATTTAACAGTGATTGCCCTGAGGTCATCAGATAACACTTCTTCTTTTGGCTGCTCCCTTTAGAGGGTCAGCATAGTAGATCATCTGCTTCCATCTCATCCTAACCCTTGCATCCTTTTCTCTTACACCAACCGTCTGCATAAGTCTTCCTCTGATATTCCTCTTTTCCTCCTGCCTGGCATCTTTATTGTCAACATCCTTTGTCTGGTATATCCATGATCCCTCCACTGCACATGTCCAGATTTACCTCTCTAACTTTCTCTTCAAACTGCTCAACCTGAGCTATCCCCCTGATACATTCCTTTCTAATCTTGTCTCCCCCCAATGACAATTCACTTGAGAATAATCTACCAACAGATCGAGTGGTAAAATAGAAAAAAATGGCAAAAGAAATCGAAGATCAGCTTTAAGGACATTCTAGTTTCCTTCTGTTGTACCTCCTTGTCCTCTCGGCATTTCACTGCTTCCTGCTGTCGTGCTGACACTTGTCTTCTCACCTCTCTTCTCTGTTTCAGTCGCTCTATCGCACCATGCTGAGAGGAACTTGGCTTCGTGATTGCTCTTATTAAAGCATAAGGACATACTGCTGCACTGGGTGTCTGCTCAGTGCATGTGTGGTGTCCTTGTGCAAGACAGAGAAATTTGGGCAGAAAGGAGCAATCACTGGATTCACCGGTTGCTTCGTCTACCCCATGAAGTCCCCACCATTCACCCCATGCACACACAAGTGGACATAATCCCCTCAACACGATAATCTGTGCCACCACTCCCAAACAGCGACGTGATTGCATTGCTGCTAGAATTTGCAAAGTTGTTAAGAAACAACTTTTAAATAGATTTCAAAAATAAATTATCAACCAGTTTACTTTTTTTTTTTTTTTTTTTTTAGCTTTTTTTCAGTTTTTATGTTTTGCAGCTAATTTGCGCTTCGGTTGAACATCAACAGTGAGACATGCAAACACTGTCGTTTGTTAATGCATCACTCATGCATCGCATTCATCTGTGTCACATCAGCCTGCAGCGTCACACAGGTGTGTAGCAGTGGTAGATACATAAAAGAGGCTTACTGTGTCTTTAAAGAAACACGAAGGATAGCAGGAATGACATTTGACAGTCAGCTTAAATGATGGATTAACAGATGGATGCGTCGGGAAAACACAGACAAATGAGCAAGAATGTAAAATGTAAACCCATTTGAATGTGTGTAGACGCCATCATTCCGCTTCTCTTCTCTGTCTTTCATTTTTGTCAATCAAACCTATTATCTAATGTCTCTGATCTTTTCCTGTGAGATATAATCTAATAAGTGAAGGCAACAGTAAATCCATCATTTTAATCCCATCATGTCTGAACTCGGCCTTGTTGACACCGTTTCTGTGACAGGTTTCAGGTTGCATTCCATCGCTTCCCTTTGCCCTCGTCTTCACCTTCTCGTTGAATGTTCAAATCAAATATCTCATTTACTCATTCCCCTTTCTTACATTGTCTCTTTCCATTCATTCCTACTGTGTCTCTCTTTCTATTGAGGTAGCGGCACCTGCATTTTTTCTTGCCTTCTCTCCAGTGCTGCTTCCCCCTGTGCTCCCCACCCCTTCTGTCGCTGTATATATTGTGGTGACATTTGTTCACTACCCAGGCTGCTGGCTGCCTGCAGTTCTGCTCTGTGATCTGACTGCTGCCTTGCCCAGAATGGGGCCTTTCATTAGGTCAAAGGAGCAGGAAAAGGACACTTGCAAACATACATGCATACAAACATACTAAAACACATGACAGATTTTGACATGCTGTTGGAAAATCCTTTGTTATGTTTGAGTTTAGTCAGGCACACATTTGGATCTGACTAAAAGTTACATACTGTATTATGTATGTATGTGTCTGTGCTTGGCTCATATACATTTGTTTAATACTCACCCTGTGAGCACTACGACAAAGTCCATCACGTTCCATCCGTTTCTCAGGTAAGAGTTCTTGTGGAAGGCAAAACCAAGCGCCAGGATCTTTATTCCCGACTCAAAACAGAAGATTCCTATGAAATACGGCTCTGTATCATCCTGCGGAGCACAAGAGAAAACAAGCAAAGGAGGAGTGGAGAGACAGGAGAGAGGAAAAGCAGGAAAGGTTATGAGGGTTTGAAAGGCACAGAAAGACAAAGGAAGTTAGCTGGCAGTTGGCGAATGAGTTTCAGAAGAAGTATTTCTGCAAATAGTCTCATGTGCCAAATAAATTTTTAAAAAATCAAAGAAAAAATTATCTCACAAATATACAATTATCACCTGAATTTAATTGCATTTACATGTATAACATGTGCAATTTTGTCTTGGTTATTCAGCTTACCAGGCGTTCTGAGAGCGGCGTCTTGTCCCCATCAGGCAAATGTTGTTCCAGAGCCAGGACAATGCAGTTGGCAATGATGGTGGCTAGAATCATCCACTCAAATGGAGTGAGGAAGTTCAGTGAAGGAACAAATCTTTTTTAATTGAACCACAAACCACCACATTAATTGCTTGTTAACACAAATATCTCATCACCCTGTCACCCGGGAGTGATGCAGCTGAAGCCCTTACTGAAATGCCCAAGTGAGCATCATTTAAACAAGATAAAAGCTCAGATCAACTCAAACTGGTTGCTTGAACATGACAATCAGTTCATATGTACTCCATAGTCACCACACCTTACCACGCCTAGCAAAAAAGAGTTTGGGAACCACTGCCTTAATCCAACAGAGCAATAGATATTTAAAAATGTTACAAATAATGTGCAAATTTACACATACTAGGTCAGGAGTTGCTATTATCATCTTGCCATTGTGGCAAGAACAGAGCAGCACCAACAGAAAAGTAAAAAAATGCAGCACTGCCTTGTTGGACAGATTCACTTATAACATACTGAGCTAATTTACCTGGCCTCCTAAAAACGTCAGGGCAAATTAAGGGATAATATAGAAAACATCCCTACCCTAACATGAAAGGTCAAAAGGAAGGTCAAATATATATGCAGTTTGAATTCACTGGGTGTAAGCAAGTGTGAAAAGAAAATATAGCAACTCTATCTCAAATGGACCACAGTCTGGCTTCTCTCTGCCACTATTTACCCACACAAATACACACACACACCCACAAGCCATCATTATGAGTCAGTTAAATATGTTCTGCTAAGTATATTTTCTGATAACACGCCACCCACACGGACAAGCAAAACAAAGATACACTTTAATATAGCCTGTGTCTTTTTGTGTAAGTGTGTGATAACCAGTGTTGGGCAAGTTACTTTGAAAAAGTAATTAATTATAGTTACTAATTACTTCTTCAAAAAAGTAACTGAGTTACAAGATACTAAAAGTATTTAATTACTTGAAAAGTAACTATTGCATTACTTTAAAAATAATCTTTAACCCTCTGGGGTCCACCGTATAATTGGCCATTTTTAACCACTTTTGATTTTACCTCTAGATTACACCTTTAAAAACTATTTACTTTGCCTTGTTTGGTATCATCCTTTTCAGCACAACCTCACGTGTCTGAATTTACAGTTATGTTTTCATTTTGACATACTGTATTAACACAATTGATCTAAAATCAGACAAAAAACATAAAATCCGAGTAGAAAAAGTTATATTTTTTACTGTAACAACCACAAACATGTTTATTGAATCATATTTCATAACTTTAAATGCAAATTAAATTGTCAATTTGAAAATCATATGCACAAGTTTTGCAAACAACAAGTTATTTGCAGCCATTTACCTTTTACTCTTTTTTTTATAACCATTTCAAACTATTTACACAACAATCAGCTGTTCTGCATTCAATAAGATGCCACACAAATTATTTGTGCCACTGCAAAAAAAGAATTTCTGTCCACTATAAAGGAGAACATCACAGCCTGATACCTGCAGGTCTGACAGCAGCAGGTGTATCACTCCTGTTTTTTTTTTACCTGGAGACAGCAGTCCCCTCATTGTTCTGACACACAACACCAAACTATCCACAACACTACACACTAACTACACAAGACAGCACATTAACTACACAATCCAAAAATGCTAAACGTCACAAATCGCTCACATCTCAAAAATGGCTCTCTCTCTCTCTCTCTCTTTCTCTCTCTCTCTCTCTCTCTCTTTCTGTCGTCACTCCTAAAACTTCCCCCTCTTCCTAAACAACCAAAAGTCACGTTGCCATATCTTTTTTTGATTGGTCGACAAGGTACATTTTTCCACCAACACGAAAGGTCGTTACTCTGTTTGTTTTTTGGGGGGTCATAAGCAGAGAGTGCTTGCTAGCGCTGGCCTTAGACAGTAAACACGACGAAACTATTGAGGAAAAAACTCAGAGTATATTGTTTATCATGACTCTGGTTTTATGTGGCCTATCAACACAATTTAAAAACTGGTATATATCACCTTGTTACTTTGTCTTTAAGTGGTCATGTGATTGGCTTACCACGACTACTTTATTCTTCCTCAGTCAAACAGAAGCACAGATCGTTTTGCCCCCTTAGCTCCAGGTGTTGTACCAGCAAGTGATTGCTGTCCACGGGAGCGCGCGCAGCTGCTTAAAGCTGTAGCGCCCAGATTACTTACAGCTACTTCCGTGCAACTGATATAAGATGCGGTAAACTGAACACAGCTTCAGCCATCTGTTGAAAAATAGTAACACCACCGCATTGCATTTTCTTGTTAGTAACGGTATCGGCGTTGTAACTATAGAAATAGTAATTATTTAGATTACTCGTTACTGAAAAAAGTAACGCCATTAGTAACGCCGTTACTTGTAACACCGTTATTCCCATCACTGATGATAACATGCCTGGGCACTGACTGAGGCTTATTATGGCATCACCATTTGGCTCTCAGTACGTAGCATCCGGCAGCTAGTACAGAAATTGAGCCAGAGATAGGGAGAAAGAGAGAGGGAGTACCTTATTACATATGTCTAAATTGTTCTTTTTTCTCTAACACACAAACATGCCCACGCATCCAGACACACAAATGCACACACAGGCCGTGTCTTCCTAAGTTAGTGCCTCTGTCTCATTAAAATCATGGGATAAATTATTACATTTAAAGGAATCAAGTAAACAGACTAAGAAAAAAAGTGATCAGAGGACCAAAAGAAGTAACTAAAGTAGAAAAATCACACTGTGTATAAATATACACAAAAGGCATGTTCAAAATCTATTCCTTCCCTTTCTTCGTCACCTTTTTTTCCTACTTCCATGCTTCCTTTGGGAGCAGCCATTCCCATGGCAGGGGTGGGAGGGGAAAACTGAACAATGAAAAGACAGAAAGGGCGAAGAAGCTATTTATAGAACATTCATCATGTGTTAAATGTATGTGAGTGTCTATGTGTGCTGAGATCGTGTGCATGTGCTTGACCACTTTTCACACATTACCAGAAAACCCAAGGCGCTGTTCAATTAGCCTCCTTGCTCCCAGCTATGCATATAAATGTATGTATACACATGTGAATGTGTTAATCCGTGACAGTGCATGAATGTAGCTGAGTGAAAAGGGGAAAGAGAGAGAAGGGAGAGGAGCAGAAAGAGAGAAGAAGACTGATGTATGTAAAAACCAAACGTGTCTGTATGTTTCTGTTATGTGTGTGCAATTGGACTGTCAGAAAAATCAATACTTGGATACTAATCAATAATAAAATCAGGTAAGTTACTCATTTGCAACAGTATTGGTAGCAGCCGTGCCATCTTTACATATGCCAGTTGTGAAACGCTCATTTCGAGGCTTCAAAATGGGACATCAGAAACTGATAGCTGGGTCCATCTTTTATACTGATCACACACACGTGCAATTCCTCCACTTATTAGAAGCTAATTAAGTATTTGATATTTCAACAGGTTTAAACAACACTGAAGTATTAAACAGTTGTCATAAATGTTAACCTGGCTAGCGCACACATTCATTTTAGCAATTTAATGAAATAATAAATATATGATGCTGTGTGGATTCTCTGTTATCTTTTATTTATTTATTTTGCTTATCAGCTGTTTATTGTCTGGCTTTGTTTTGAAACTGTGCATGTGAGGATGGATGACTCACTTACTGCAGACCAAACCTACCTACGGGTACAAATAAAGTAACATGAACCTTTATATCTATTAGCCACATTAGTCTTCTGTTATCATTACGGCAGCGGCTAGTGGCCAGGGCGAAATATAAAATAATAACGCTAATGTTGGAGGAAAACGTTATCAGTCCTGTCCATCTGTTAAGGTATTTGGACAGTGTTAATTTAACAGGGCAATGCAACTATTTGTGTCTAAAATCTCTCTTAAAGTCTGAGATTGAAGTTAAGAAAAGTGTAAAAGCAACTAGACATAAACAGTGGCTCCCTTAACAGCTCTATTTGATCACCAATGAAGATGTAGTGCTAAGTCAAGAGAAGCACTACCTCAGACAAAATATTTTGTCTTTTTGTTTGCACTACATTAGACTATAGGATTACATTACTATTTTTTACATATATATATATAT